TCCTTCACGACCAATGCACGTTGACTAGGATGCCATTGCGGGAACCTGGGTCACACGGACAGAGCTGAAATGGAAAACAAACAGAAAAGCCAACACACCACAAGCATACCCACAGCACAATCTCACACATCAATAACAAACTGCGCCTCCAGATAGAGAGCTCCTCTTGACATCTTGCAACACAATCGCCACTTGCTAGAATGACTCTTGCAGAATGCAACGTGACCATAGCAGCACCTCACGATACTCTACGCACATCGTCTTATCTACTCACTACCAATTACCACTGAAATCGCTTATCACTCATTCTGCCTCAGTTCTAGTAGCGGTGACGCATGCGAGCCTCAGTCGTTTACACTCTTTCTCCCCGGCGTGTGGGACCACAGCTAACAATTATCTCCGTGTGCATTTCATTCTCAGGAATAGCCTAGCCTCCCCGGCGTATATGACCCATCTGCTGTCCTTAACATCAATCAATTCATTCATGGATGTAGAAGACTCGAAACAACTTCAGAAATAATCACGACGAAAATTTTAACAAAATTACGCAATAACAACAAGGTACGAAAACAACGAGTAAACACAATGAATCCAAAATACACCAATTGATATGACACACCACACGTATATACAAACAGTACACACAAACTCGCAGTTCATGTCTTGATGGAATTCCTTTGAAGAATCGCAGGACTTACACCAGTACGCCTGCAACCCTTCTCACGTTGACGACTGTAATTTGTGGAATGTCAGGACACACACAAGATTAACCAACAATTACATCAATTGGAACTCACACAATTATTTAACACAAACATATGTACAATGACTACATCAAATGTTGTGGATTCTGACACGACAAACTACCCTTGAAGAACTGTAGGACTTACAGCAGTACGCCTACATTCCTTCTCAGCTTGATGATCCAAGTGGAAGTCGTCCGGACACAAACAGAATTACCAACAGCTAGATGACAGATGATATCAATTCAGTATATACAACATGAACATATGTACAAAATCACACACCGAGCACATTGGGCTGCTCATTGATGCGCTACCCTTTGAAGAATTGTAGGACTTACAGCAGTACGCCTACAACCCTTCTCAGGTTGACGCCCTAGGTTGGAAAATCGTTGCAGAGTTCATTTACTAACTTCCTTCTATCGTGTATATACTCAAATCTGAACGGTAACACGCCCATGTCATTGTATCGTAGAATATAGATGACGAAAAAACACACGACATATCTCATCAACAAGGTGCAGAAACAGAGTAATTTACACCAAAGATTATAACATTCAAATAGTAACTTGAAACTAGAAATGCCTTTATTCGTGCAAGTCAATTTAACAATAACTCTCTCCTTTACACTTGGCTTATCCACACTAAACTGACCATTGATATTCGTCCTTTCAAACGAACTGATACTACCATAGTCATTGCACAAGATACTTGAGTTGATGGGTGTCTGTTTCATTGTGGATGACAGCACCAACGATGACTGAGTGACACAAGGTGATGAACTTAGTGGTGGATCAGAAGCTGTTCTTGTTCGGCTCTCAGATAGTTGTCCAACTGCAAGATTACCACCACTGCTGTCTTTCACTACTAGTTCGGGTTTAGCTCTGTCATCTGATAATAGGTGGGCTACACGCTGATCTATTACACTGACTGTCTCACAAGTATGCACATCTTCTGGAACTGCATCTGCGTTCAATTCTACTTCACGTTGTAGTTGTACAGAACCCTTGTTCAACCTAGCAGTAGTATGCATATCCCTCATCTCATAATGATCAACCAAAGACAACTGTGAAGTATCATGATCATTATCATGAATATTCACTTTACCGTCAACTTCATCATTTTCAAACTCTTTAATAACAGAAGTAGACAATTTTGGTTCCTCCTCGCAAATCATAAAAGGTTTTATAACTTCACTCTGACTAGTAATACCTTGTAAACTTTTGGAGTCAGAACTCCACTCTGAAGCAGTAACTCTATTCTGTGACACTCTATTCAGCAACGGCTTACCAGTTGCAACTACAGACTTCTTCACAACAACGTTATCGTCACACAATTCGGAGTAAGGCCTGGAGTTTACATTTAGCTTATCACTGAACTTGCTCACTGGTTCACAGTTCACTTCTGTATGCACCTCTTGCACACGTGTAGAACAAAGCCGTGTTTGTCTTGCATCTTGTAACTTATCTGTTGAGGATGTACTACGAAACCTGTTACACTCACTAGGTCTATATGCATTACTAGACATCATGGAGTCTTCTCGATATCCACCTCTCTGAGGCCTACTCGTCATCAATGAGTGCGTTTTACCCTCAGACTGCTCTATTCTAGGGGTGAGATCTAACAGACTGGAAAACTTGCTCATAGATTCATTGACACTAGTATTTACCAGTTTCAGGATATCATCAAACTTTGGCTCGATACCCTCATCCTCCATACGGGAGCTCATCTTCACCCACTTCCTTTGCAGTCGGGTAGGTAGACGTCTTGCTATTACTTCTAGTATAAAACTCGAGTTGAGGTCACTCATGAGATTCATCGAAATCATTCCATTCTTGTAAATTAGCAAATTATCTAAAAACTCAGTGAGTGCCTGGTAGTCATCCTGTAACTGACCACCATTACCCTTAACAGCCTCGAATAATTTTCCTGCAATCATCGAAGGTCTTCCAAACCTTTGACGTAATATACCCAGAGCCTCGTAGTAGCCCTCTTTTGGCTTCATAAACTTACAACACTGTATAGCTCTTGCAGCATCTCCAGTGCAATATCTCATCAAATACATCAATTTCAATTCATCATTTAATAAAATACCACTCAACATGATCTCAAACTCCTTTACAAATTGTAAATAATCAGCCGGGTTTCCATCAAAACATCGTGGTTCTAATTTAGGGAGTTTGATGTTCCTATTATCCCTGAACGGCGAAACAATACCCTCAAACATGTCATGCTTAACATCAGACACATCGTTACAATTAACAGACAAGTCACCATGACTTACTTTCCTGTTTGCATCCAAGACACTCTGTCCCTTCTTTGACCCAGGCATTGTTGAACTTGACCCAATTCCAAAAAAGTTCCAGATATTGCTTGTTCAAAGAGGACTTGACCGGCACCAGGAAAGATGAACGGTGACTATCCAAACTTTCACCAACTGTTTGAATCCGCCAGATCTGTTTCCATCGTCAGAAACTGTCAATCACGTCTCATAAACCGTTAATGCCCAGCTCTCGCTACGCTTGGGCCCACGCTGTTCTTCGAAGATTTCTCAGAAACGCTTAGTTATAACGGACGCAAAAACCAAAACACCGATCTGCCGTTTGATATTTCTGTATTGTTACACCAACATATAAAAGGAATAAGCGAACTAAGGTCTGAAAACAAATATTACAATAATAAATCTCTGTATCACTTCTGAAGATGTTTCACTCTTCTTTCTGAACAGCGACCGATGAGACGATGACTGTGGTATTGATGCCTCCGCGAAAATTGGGGAAGTTGATTTTGAGCAAACAACCATGAATTGATCGTTCAATCTTCAAATCCATTAACAGGAGTGGTTAACATGAACCAAGCGGTTTACTTTGAAGCGATGAATACTATTCTTAATGATGATCTAAAATTCCAAAAAATCTCGTCTTCTCTGGATCCGATTGAAAAGATAGAGAAACAGTTAGCGGAAACATTGGGAAGACTGAGACAACAAGGCTTCATCTCACAGAGTCAGTATACAACGCTTTAACCCACTGGAACGTTCACACCAAGACTATATGGCTCGCCTAAAGTGCACGAAAATGGTGTACCATTTCGACTAGTATTAGATATGCTAAATTCACCATACCATCCCGTAGCCAAATGGTTAGTCGAACTCTTACAGCCTCTTCACATACCGAGTTGGTGAAACACAGTGTAAAGGATACTTTTGGAAGTGTTGAAAGGATAAAGGATTTAAATGTTGACAAATAAGTCCATGATATCATTTGACTTATCTTCCTTATTCACCAATGTACCACTTATGGAAACAGTGGACTTTGTATGCGAAGAACTCATAAGAAGAAACACAGATGTTTGCATTCCTATAATTTTTATGAAAGAGCTTATCTTGAAATGCACAGTGAAAGTCCACCTTTTATTTAATTAGGAACTATATGGACAGATCGACGGTGTGGCAATGGGGTCACCACTGGGACCTATTCTAGACAACAGTTTCGTTGCGAAAGTAGAAAATGGGCCTTTGAAATATGTTACTAATGAACTCGAACTCCATTGTCGGTACATGGATGATACAATTTTGATTATGAAAAATGAGGAGGAAGCAAAAGCATCCTGCAATAAATTTTACTATTGAGAAAGGAAAGGACTCTAGTATTTCATTTTTAGACTTCCTTATGACCAGAAAAGAGGATGGCACAATACGAAGAAGTGTACATAGAAAACCTACATCAACGGGTCAGTATACTCATTTTCTCGGCTTCGTGCCCTTGAAGTACAAACGCAATCAGTTAAAGTGCTTGGTTCACAGAGCAAGAGCAATTTGCTCCGATGAATGTCTTGATAGCATTGATAGCATTCATTTGTCAAACACTACTGTTCTTCACACGAAAATAGCCACATTGATATCCCGAGACATGAAGTCTACATTGAATGATGCTATGATGAAAGGTGCATCTTCTACATGAAGTAAACTATTTGTGTAGATGACATTACCCTCTAGCTATCCCATCTTCCTCATTACAGTGATATTTCGACACAGTCCACCTGAAACACTAATTATTGTAACCAATATGCTGAGAGTGTGTCGCAGCACATCACATGACGCGGACACCAACATAACTAGCCAGGAAATGAGGATTCCTATCCATCCAAAAACATACAACAATATTTTACTAAATATTTTCGACAAAAAAGATTTACTGTGTGAAATTTCAACCAATATGCCGGATAAGTCCAGCCAACATTTGCTTGTTTATCTCTTCCGCGGGCCCACGAGATTAGGGTTAACGAAGGACTCTTTCATTCGAGCGTTTGGTGTGTGGCGGCGTGGTCCTAACTGCAGTTCGACTATTTGTGTTGGTCTTCTCTTTGTCGTAGCATAGGTGAGTAGTTTAGCGTGTATTCATCGTTTTTCGAGGTGACTAAAAAGTCTCTCAGAACTAATTGATAATTAGTCTACATATAAGCAAGCATTTATTGGTGAAGGTCTTGAACTCTACATCAGTGTCATATATCCAAGTGTATAAGTGATGACTTCACAATATTAATTCTAAGTGGTCCTTTGTCATGTAGCATCACTGTTCATATATGAACATATATATATATATGTCAGATACCCTATATTTGAGTTACAAATTCACTAAAAGCATCTACTACTAATAATTATTTCTTTTTCTAGATTGCGGTGGCCTCTGTGAATTCCATTACAGTTGTTGGTGTGATATAAACCGCAGAACCTCAATGGATTTCGGTGGGTTACATATACGTTTTCACTTTCATTTAAAGATAGTCATATTCGTGTTTCCTTCTTGTCTGTTTCCGGTTCTCATAAGTTTGTGAAATTGAATGAGGGGATCAAAATGTAACTTTGTTCGCTTGACACAGTCAGTACTAAGGGCTACAGTGTTCTCATTACTGTAACTGATCAACGAAAGATTTCTTCTCATAGTCGTTATGGGAGTCATGCGCCTTCTGAAATCTCTCATTTTATCCTGTCACGTTTCTGTGACTATTGTAAATCCCAGGATTTTTAGATTTAGGTAGGTTGTTCCTGGACATATCCAGTGTGATTGTTCAGAAAACTTCATTCTCTGTCCAAATGCTGGTATTTACACAATCGTATTATTCATTTGCCCGAGTATTTATCATGGGAGCGTCAAAAAGGGAAACTCCCATGATTTTCTTCGAGTGAGAAAATATTACCCTGTGGATTCATGACTATTTGTCGTAAGATTGTGTGGTAGAAACAAGTGTTTCCATCGTGCCTAAATGACTGCTGGGTTTTAGTTAATTTCGTATGAATTAGTTTGTTAACTGGTCTCCGGTGTGAAAATTACTGCATGACACCACAGTACATAAAGACCGTTCAGTGTGTGATGTAATCTCAGCATAATACTAAACTTATCGAGCAGCGTAATCTAAAGAGAAAGGCAATAGGGTGTTAACATCTGCTTCATATTTTGTTCTAGATCTCGCCATTTCTACTCACTACTACATTTGTTCTATTTTCTTCTGATACGACTTGAGTAGGTCTATTCATTCAGTTTTGTAGAAATTGGTTTTTACAGTCCTGACGTATGTATGTATATACTGTGAGTAAAATTTCGTTCCCACTCGCAATGATTTCGGTAATTCTTATTTAATTTAGTTAGAGAAATTGTTTATTGGCATGAGCCCATGAAGTCGGGTATTGTTGCAGCCGTTGGGCTGACATTACTCTTAAGTCTGTCATCCATGTCCCTGGTCTCTTTTATCGCCTACATCGGAATTGCGATAATGTGCTGCACGACGGCTTGCAAGCTTTATGGTTTTATTACGCGTCAATTCAAATCAAATCAGGATTCACCGAAAAACCCATTTGAGTAAGTTTGATTCTGATGAAATTTTATCTCGTTTATCTCTGGTTGTCCAATTATTTCTGTCGGAAGATTATTACCTATGCAAGTGTGTAAGCGACAATACATCCCAGCCTATTCAACACTACTATTGTACTAAATGAAGTTGTTTCATTACTAGTAACTCACATCTCACGTTTTCTAGCTCAAGCATATAAGGAGAAATCAAATAAGTCCCTTCATAGTTGATCAGATACAATGTTTTCATTCATTGAGTTTAAAAATAAAGGCTTTAATTTCTAGCGAAAAAAGAAGTCCACCAGAGAAGTGTTATACCTCTTAGCATTTGAAGTTGAGATATCTTCGGTAGACAAATGATTGTATAGTATCGTTGGCTTGTGCACTCAACTTTCAGTCAATGGGTCCCGGATAGGAATCTCGTTGTATTTATTAAAGCCTAGACAGCTCGATTGTATTACTTACTGGTTGTCACACAGTATGTGGCTTACAGTTTGGTACATAAGTCCGTTGCAAAGAGTGGAGGGCTAAATGTATCAAAATAGAATTCGTTGATTCGAATTAGTAGATATATACGATCAGTGTGTAACATTCGATTTCACTTAGTACAAAATCTACTTACGATGATTGCTGTTATATTAGAAGTAAGAGGATGTGAATGTATATTTGCGTACCTGTCATTTTGTTCTTCTGCGAAATGTATAATACAGTAGGCGATGTAATATTGCCTACCATTAAGAAAATCCCAGTAATTTATTACATTGCCTCACATTGTAGTTTTTCTATCTGTCTGTGACAGTTTTTTTCTCTGCATTATGTGCTCTTTTAGATTTTGGCTTGAATTGGAGATGACTTTACCTGGAGAAAAAATTGGCGAGCGTGTCGCAGCCTTGTGTGAAAAATTGTCCGAAAAGTTGAATTATTTACGTCGCGTATTGTGGTTGGAAGATTACTTTGAGACTGTAAAGGTAAATGTCACAACAGTACTTCAGTAATTACCAATTATTACCACTTTTCCTTTAGTAATTTAAGGGAGTTGACCAAAATCTGACCTAATTATACATTCATCTGTTAACTCTGTTACAATATCTCCAGTTTCAAAAGAGTTGACAGGATTGCCTTTTTACCATCTGATAAGATGTAATTGCCTAGAGCTTCTTATGAAGCAATTTGTTTGATGCATTGGTGTGTCAGCCAGCTATTAAATGCAGAATATGTTTGTTAAAAAAAAAGTTTCTCACCTACATCAGCTTCAACAATTGAGTAATATGACTAACTCTCACCGGATAAGCGTCACTCACATCTAGATACCGGGTATTTGAGTTTTGAGTAACTGCTTTTAACTGATGACAAAAACTTTTCTACTTACAAAAAGGTTATTTGTCATCTTCCCTATTGTCAAGAAATACCTTATCTACATTGTCTTATTCATTTCAATTATGTTAACTTGCAAATTTTCCTACTTTTCTCTGTTTATCATTACTACTTTCCAGTTGGTTGTGTGTTTATACCTACTTTCCGTAGTAGGTGCTTGGTTTAATTTGCTTACCCTGATAACTATAGGTAAGTCTAGTGTTATTTCGTGTGTGAATTCAACCACCGCTTCATATGTATACATATGTATATATATTATATATATATATATATGTAGGAATGCCATGATGGATGATGATTAGTTTGAATATACGATTGATGAAGTAATTAGTGAGTGCTAATATGGGTAAAGTTTTCCGTTGATTGTTGTTACATGATCTGCCTTAATGGATCAATGTCCAGGCGTCTGACATGGTTTCCATTAACCAAAACGCCATTCTTGTCATGCATTCGAATCCAGGGAATCATGTTCACCATAGGTTTCGAGTAAGGTTTTTCTCCACGTAGTCACCATGTCAATCGGTCTGTTCATAATTTCATGAAATCCGCCCTTTCACTTTCTTGAGAACAAACTTCACCGAGTGCAGTGCAATGTAGTACAGTAACTAACTTAAGCGTTATTCAGAAGGTAAGTTATGAGAGAAACGAAGAGCGTGGAGGAATAGAGACACTTCAATATCCCTCAAAGAAGAAGCCGACAACTTTATCGTCGACATTACAAAATGTTTTGCTCAGTTTAGTTTAAAATACAACATTCACTACTATTCATCAGTAGGTAAACCTCAGTCATTGCGGTTTCTTAACATTTTTGATCTGCTTTACTTCTGGCCATCAGTTAGTTAGTTAGTCAGTTTCACAGAGAACTGCTGACTGACTGCATAAGTATCAATCACTTTATCGCTTGATACCGGACTTTATTTTAGTATGTTTGTTTTACAATTAGTTATAGTGATTCTCGTAATGATATTATGCTGTAGACTATGTGGTAGTTGCCTCAGTATTCTATAGAGTAACTTCGTGGTAATGTTTCTGTAATGATAATTTTGTTTTTCAGCATTTGTTCTCGGGATGACTTGTCCTAAAATATATTTATTATGCAAGGTAAGAAACGTTTGCTTCCCTTTAGGCAATACAACACAAGACAATACTTACGTAATTTGATTTAATTCAATTACTTTTTGTATTTTCAAGTATTGATCTTTGTAGGGATTTCGCTTGATTGGTTGGGGGATTTCATCTTGAGCATGAAATCAGTAAGAGAACCATTGGAAAACCTAGGAGTACTGGACAGTTGTTTCGTCGTAGTTCGGGACCGCTCATCAGCACGAACCCACCGGGTTCCGAACTCAGGATCTCCTGGTTACAAGGCGAGCGATCTCGTAGACCATTAAGCCACTGGGACCCGACCCAGTCATCCTTAAATCCTAACTTCTGCCAATTCATGACATAGCGCGACCGATTCGAAAAGTCTTCTCCGATGAGTTACTGGTAGTAACTGATAGTTTTGTTCCCGATGAATTGGTTTTATTTAATATTTCTACATTTGTGATATAAGAGTAAGACTGAATTCCGAGTGCGGTTGTAGGTAGTGGTCGAGAGCCTGAAATATTATTGCTTGAGTGTTGAGCTTGTCGTGTAATGCATGTATCTGATAATTTCAGGTGGGTATATTGATTTGTCGGTTTGTTTGTTTAAGCTGAAATATACGGGATAGATTTTTCATTTAGCAGGTTGATGATGGTACCCAGTGAGTTATGCAGGACTCTAATCCGTGAGCCAATAACTAGAAATGAAATGCTTAACCCACTGAACCACATCCCCACCATCTGTGTAATGGTGCATTCATACGATATATATGTATACATATATATATATATATATATATATATATATATATTCATGGTAATTTGAAATGAACTTAATAATTTCTCTTGTTTAGCCCCAGTTTGATGCGGCATTCCAAACAACTAAGGAGAAAATCTTCAGTATGCTTAAATTGTAAGTGTAAAAATCTCACCGAAAGTGTTCTTTGTTCTTTTTGTTTCATCAGTCTGCCCTGAGTTATATACTACTACCTGCTTTGTCAAGCTTAATGAGTCTGATAACTTCATCAGTCTGTCAATCACCTTGTATAATCTAACGGGAAATATGTCTTTTATTTGAAGAATGGTATTTATCAGTCTGATACTGAACGAATCGATTGATTTGGAATTTTCTTGCTTAGTCATTTTACATGATAATATTTCAGTGAAATAAAAGAGGACTAGTCCTACAACAAACATCATTATTATTATTAATACTACTATTGTTAGCAGTTTGTACTTACTTATTTAACATTATAATCATTGGAGGACATTTTCGATAAGTTGACAGCGTAGCAGGAGAAAGTGCTTTATATGTAATTCACTAACTGTTTTCACATAATGTAAGGATAATAGGTGATTAGCACAAGGATACCTGCATACATTAATAAGATTCAGTGTATTGGACCACTGAAATCTAACATATCGAAGCAAGATAACCGACATAGTTTGATGATCTCTACACTTTGTATTATCCGCTTTATATGAATTTAATGTTTTATTATATACTAAATAGCATTGTAATCTTTTATTATTTCAGCGCTGAAGCGAAAGTATCAGGGCTTCGTGGGAAGCCTTCTACAGAATAATTTTGTAAAAGTGACAAGTCATCAAGCCCAACTCATCCAAAGATACATCACATTCTATGTACTATTTCATTCCTTCGATGTCTTCCTGTTCATCATTCGAAACCGTCGAGCACTCATCAGATCAGATAGACAGTGTTGACGTTAGAATGGCCGTTTATCAACGGATGTTTCATGACACTTCCGCTTCTTTGTCTTCGCCCTTTTCTTCTTCTTCTTCTTCACATGTATCCCAGTCTGATGAGAGATATATGTATAATTGTGTGTCAATAAAGCGATTGCAATTGCCATGGAATATTGTCTTGTGTTTATAGTGTTATGAGTTGTGAGAGTTGATTGTTGAAATAGAGAAGAAGTCAGTGGGAGTGATTTTGTAGGTGATTCGGATACTTCGATGTTGGAGCGATGAAAGGAAGATGTGCGAAATGATTCCACTTGGAGACTGTTATTAGCTGGTAGACTGACTTGTACCCTAAGGAAGGTGAACCTCGAAATTCGTGATTTTTGACTGCGTTGTGAGTGTTAGGCTAATGACAGTAGAAGATAGTGATTTCACTCTAAATGCGTTTCACATCGAACCTCGAATAAATGTGTGCATAGTTCTCCTCTTTATTTCTCATATAATGATATTGCACAGGCAACCAGCAAATGATAACTATTCCAATGGTAAAATTTACAACAACACATTTAAGCGAATAATATTGTTGTTTTCAATTAGATCTCATCAGGCTTAACTCTAATATACACCTACATAACTTTACAAACAGAAATTCAAATATAAACTCATCACGGTGTTTTTTCTATAGGATATAGGATAATAAGGCAGCGAATACAAACTGTGCCATTAGTCATAAGAGTGAGTGATAATGGTTCTATCAATAATAATAATAAGGATGAAAAATTGAGGCGATCTGTGATAGCACGAATAACGAAAAGCATCATGATTAAAGAAACAAATGTTCAGGTAGACATAGTAGTCGATAAAGTCTAAGGAAAGCGACTGAAGGGATTGAGTAGTGAGTGCTAGCTAGATTGTAGGGGAAGTAAATAAAATACGGTTCAATGAAGATGTGGTAAGATTAAGGGTGGATGATAAGAGAGGGTTTGAAAATCTAAGTAAGGGGTGGTAGAGAAGTTATCAGTTGGTTAAGTGTCAACAGGCCAAGGGAGGTATAGTGGCTGTACGAACTTCTTTTGAATGAAGGCATAGTTTAGGTCCAAAGTTTAGTTCGAATGGCTATCGCCTGCCTCAGCCTGTGTGCAGTAGGCGAATACGAGATCTATTGGAAAGATTCGGTGGGATACGATGAATTACTTTGGAAGCTGTCGTTTTCTCCACTACTACACGACCAATATCAAGTAAATGTGACAAAATTGAGCTACAGATTGTTTCTGTGTGTCCTTCGCCAAACCACGATGATGGGAGATGTTCAATAGTGACACATTGGCTAATGTAATCGTAGTATTAGTATTTCGAGATGACCGAATTACAAGAATCCAACAAAAACAAAGAGAGGGCGGAATTCAGGAATTTGTATTCAGCGTAAATCAGGAAATTGTATTTAGCGGAATTATTATGCAATTCATATAAGAAACATATTAACAACCAACAGTAAGTATTTAAACAATACAGAGATAGAAATTGTCAATCACCACATCCGCCACATGTCGAATATCTCCTTGCGTATTTATAACGATGTCTCGGTTTTCTTGCAAGTAGCTGCGACCTAACTGATTCCGTGAATGTTTGGCTTGCGATTCGCTCCCGCCAAATGCAAGATGATGTTACATGACTGGACTACATCGACGCCTAGTTTAAAAATAGGAAGTGAAGTGGTAGAGCACGTTAACCGCTTCACTTATTTGGGAAGTACCATCAGCCCCAACGGGCTGATCTCTGACGAAATCTCAGCACGAATACAAGGCGCTCGTTCCTCATTTGTTAGTTTACGCCGACTGTGGCGTAGACGAGGTGTTCGACTATCGACCAAAGGGCGGGTGTACTGCTCATCAGTCCGCTCCGTCCTCCTTTATGGTTGTGAGACCTGGCCACTGAGAGTGGAAGACATGAAAAGACTAGCTGTCTTCGATCATAGGTGCCTGCGTTCTATTTCCCGTGTAAAGTGGCATAATAAGGTGACCAACATGGAGGTTAGGCGTAGAGTTCTAGGTAAACAGGGGAAATCAATCGATGAAGTCGTGAAGCTACAAAGACTGAGATGGTTAGGACATGTGTTACGTATGCCAAGTCATCGCCTCCCTCGACGAGCTATGTTAGCGGATATAGGGTCAGGCTGGAAAAAAGCTAGCGGCGGTCAAACAAAAACTTGGCATCAGTCAATGAAATCCACAACAGTTGGTCTTAGCCACGTAGGAAGGTGTAGACTTCCAGGCTGGGGTCCTCGGGACGGCAAAAATCTATGGTTGGAAACAAATGGTGACATGGCTCAAAACCGTTCTCAGTGGCGCAGATGAATCCACTCCCTGTGACTTATGATCTTCAATGAAATTGTTTTGTATTTCTTTATTACCCCTTTGTCTCACACCTCTGGTCACTGTTTCTATTATGCTTTTCTTGTACTTTCTTCTCTTGCTTCGCGTGCTACACGGAATGTGGCGACTTGAACTTCCGCACATTTGTGCAAAGTTCTATGTCGAAAACAGACAGACAGACAGTGATATTATCTTCATCACTGTTATCTGGACTTATTTCTGAATTATCTACAAAATCAGGATTAGTAGCGGAATTACTAATATTATAATTGGAACGACCTACTTAATTTATTGTCACTTTGTCCAGGTGTCCGTTATGAACTGAGTGATCTTTGATGTCTAATATCTTCACCACTCGATTTCCCATTCTTTGTAGTATGATACCAATAGAAGGTCTATAATCATTCCCTTTGTAATAATGTACATTAGAAGTCGTGGACATCAGATGCTTTTTGAGAATTCGAGATTCGAAAAGTTTTGCTGGACTTTCACGGGTACTTGTATGCTCTGCATTCAACAGACGCAGTCTATGCATATGCAACAATTCCTCCATTTTAATCAGTTGCTCTCTCATCTCATTCAGTTTTTCTCGTGTTTTCGACAGTTCGCATTGTAACTCGGCTACCACATTTTTGAAAACAGTTGACGCTTGAGTTGCTGAACTTGTAGTGGAGGTTTTCATTGGAGGAGCTTGAGTATTTTGAAAAGTTGAAAGACATATTGACTCGATTTTACTAGACAGATTGGGAGAATTATGAGAATGCTGAGCAACATAAGTATTCGAACTTCTGCAAACAGTCTTGATGTGTCCAACTTTACCAAATTTATGGCACTTAGCACCCCGAAAACGGCAAGTGCTTCGTAGATGTAACTTTCCACAGGATAAACACGGTTTAATGTTTTTGATCTCTCGCTGCATTCTATTACCTGTGGACGACAATTTGGATTGCTTCCCATGACCACTTGTATTTTCGACTTTGGACAACATGACATCAGATACTGACGTAGTGGGAGCAGAGTATTCATTATTGACATCTTCATATGTAATAGATAAATCTTTAGCAGTTTGAAAGGTACAAGAAGGAATCTGAATTAACTCTTTCTCTAACTTAGGAATATTGATTCCAGCAATTACACGATCACGTAGTTGAGTATGCAGCTCATCTCCAAAGTTACACTTTGAAGCTTGTATTTGAAGTTGCAGAATGAAGTCTCTAATCTTCTGGTTGGGAGCACGAACCAGTTTATTGAATTGAGCCCTCTCTCTGGTCTCAAATGTAGTTACATGAAAGTGGTTTATCAGAAGTTCACGAATCTTGACATATGACAGAGAAATGGTATATCTGGAAACGCCAGATTCTTTACTAGGCTATATGCATCTAGCCCAATAGCAGTGATGAAATGTGCTGGTATTTTGTGATCGCGAACATTCTTTGAAATGCACCACGCATCGAAGCATTCAAGGTAATCAGCGATCTGCCGCAGAGAACCATTTATAGGAAATTTCACAAGGTTACATAGTTCCATCGCGACGCCAATTTGTTGTAATTATTTGTAATCATAGTATTAGTATTTCGACATGACCGAATTACAAGAATCCAACAAACACACAGAGAGGGCGGAATTCAGGAATTTGTGTTTAGCGGAATTATTAATCAATTCATATAAGAAACATATTAACAACCAACAGTAAGTATTTAAACAATACAGAGATAGAAATTGTCAATCACCAGAGCTAAGCGGTCAAGTAGTACTACTATGAATATAACATAACTGTCACCAGAGGTCCAGCTGAATTGATAGATGCACAGATATGTGGGAAAACTATCTAGCTTATATTATACTTGGTGTGCGTCCTAATCATTCGTCAGCTAGAGAATGACAAACATAGGTGGTATGCTGCGTAAAACGTTTCTCGTGTACTCCTGTACTCGGATAGCCCATTCCATCTCCGTCAAGGAATCGTGAATAAACATATCTTTCTTGCTCTGTTCGTAAGACACTGAAGAATATTTCTTTTATATCTATCTAATTGGCAGGTAACTGAGGAAGTGTGTGTATTGCCCGTATGAATGTGCTTTTTCTATACACTCTTCTCCCAAGTGACCCATCTTCTCGCCTGCTTAGCAAGACATCCCGAAAATGTGGTTTATTATCCTGCTCCTCTTCATAAGTAAAAGTAAGCGAAGGGTGGACATTGTTGAATTTCACCAACCAATCGTCTATGTTTACATTCCCATCGGCTAAGATGAATGTATCATTGACATAAGGGTAATACATATCAAACTCTTTGATGATGTCTTTCAATTTCCTGTTTTCAAGTTTTGGGGGAGAGAAGTCAGCTAATATTGGGCGTAATGGTGAACCACCCGTAGGTATTCCATCTACTTGTTGGAAGTATGAATTATTGAAGACAAAGTGTACATTGATTGTGCATCTAAGGAGTAATTCTTTGAGACTACACAAGGAAATTGCTAAGTCCAATTGACTTTCGGTGACTTCTTGACAAATGTAATCTACTCTTTCCATAAGTGGTACACTCGTGAATAGTGCTGTTACATGCATGGATAACATGCGTTTATCGCTCACATTTGTCTCGGATATTTTAGATATAAAGTCGAAGACTCCACTAATTGTATATCTGACGATTTCTTTGTGCAAGGATCTCAGAATCCTGGCTAACCAATTCGCTCTTCCGTGAAATGGAGAGTTGTACATATATATGTATACAAAACTAGTAGATAAACCACAATGAAAGTGTTGTATGATTTCGATTGGTAATTAGCGCGAGCGT